AGAATAAAGCTAAGGTAGTTGAATGACTTATGATATTATTGTTGTAGATAAATTGAGATTAATTCCAATTGAATGAAGTTGGGTACTATGAAGGAATTTAATCAGTAAATCATATTATATGCCGTATTATATTGATTATCGAATTTTATCACATCCTCACGAATTACTGAGATCTTAATAAAGTTGAGTATACATTGACAGTTATAAATAAAAAAAAAAATTTTATAATACTTGTGTTGATCTATATAATTAATAAATATTTTAAATTAAATATCGAAATGGTAATTAATAAAATTTAATTTAATTCTCTTTCGTGAATATTGCGATTAATATTTTCATAATGTTAAAGTAAATGCATTTTACGAGATATTTTACATAAAGTTGAACGCATGAAATAACAATAATACATTTTATTTCATATCTAAATGTTCGAATATACGATGAAAATTTCCTTTCATTTCATTGATTAAATTATTTTCAATATTCATATATTTAATCATTTTATTCATTGTTAGTCACATAGTAAGGAAATTATTTTTTATAGATTTATAGTAGTTTTATAAATAATATCGATAAAATTGTAAAAAAAATTAACATAAATATAAAAATATTTTTTATAAAAATAAACCTCAAGTTAATACTAATAATTAATGAATAAGCTATTTGAAAAATGATTGTAGTTGATAAAGATTAATATATCATATAATATTAAGTATTGCTTATAATTTATACGCAACTATAAATTCCATCAGAATTAATAAAAAATATTTTATAAACAATGTTCAAATATTTAAGCAACTCTTCAATTTCAAATAAGGTAAAGATAATTCAAAATAAAACAGTTATCCAAAAGTGAAATAAAAATTAAGGAAATAATATAACTTTCAGCTTATGATAAGACATATATAATCTCGCAATATATATAATGACAATTTCAGCTACAAATTTCCATCTTTGTTTCATTTTTTTTTTCTTTTTTTTTTTTTTTAAAAATTTGTATTTATTTTTGTTATTTTTGAAATAAAATAAATCTCCAAATAAATAACATAAGTTCATTAGTATTCGGATGACTTTGGCAAGAGTTGTAATAGAATATGACAGAGTATTTGAGTTGGAAAAGCGATATAACATATTTGTAATGTACACACGTATGTTAGTTATCGTGTGTTTCTGGATTTATTTTGTAGTAGAGAAATTGAATTTTTAATTAAAGCATTTATTAAAATGGATAAGTAAATTTTAACAATTAACATTTAAATGTTTAAATGACTTCAATATTGCATCAGCATTGAATTACACATTAATAGGAATATATTGTATTCTATACACTACTACATATTGACTAGTACATACATTGATTCAGAATATATAGCATACTTGTATTTATTAATAATAAGGTATTATAAAAGCAATGCTTATACAACCAAAGTACTCGTAATGGTTTTCAAATCAAATCAAATTTTAAAAGTAAAAAATGCTAATATACAAAGCAAAACTTATATTTAGTGTAGTAGTTTAGTACGTATAAAATAGTTATTTTATTTTAATCGTCTCAAACATAGTTTGCAATTGGAATTTAAAATTTTTCATGAAAATCTTTATATTCTGTTATCAATCATTAACATGCATTTAATTTCTTTGGCTATTTTTTATTTTAGCTTTAGTTGATTAATTACATATTGACATTATATGTTTTAGATATAAATCGAATTTTTTTTCCATTTTTTATACTATACATTGAAATAAATTCAATATTGAACATTGTTTAAGGAAAATTATTACTTTACAACGATATAAATGTAATATAAAAATATAAATTATGTATGAAAACGTTTTATATTCTCAAAACACACACACACACACACACACACACACACACACACAGTACTAATTATCATTCTAAGAATAGTAATAAGAATAATAATAGTGTGTTAATAATTAATATTATAATTCTGGTAATAAGAATAATGGAAATTGCACTCATAATTTCGCCTATCTTCGTTTATTTTCATTAAGTACAGTCAATTTTTTTTTAATCTTTCCTTTTCTTACATTGAGTTTTTTGCAGTATTTCCTTGAATTTTTTTTCATCGGTCTTTCAGCGACGTTAGCAGGATAGCACCCTCTTTTTTATGGTTTATAAATTTTAAGCACGTATAGGCGTAAAATCATTGGACTGTCGTGTCGGTTATCTCTATACCACTGTCGTTTTGTAATATGTAATTACAGTAGAAAAGAAGGAAATAAATATGGAATGGAAGGGAAGCCATGATTGAAGAGAGAATAAAAAATCCGAGTGGAATGCAACGAACCGTGATAAAATAGAATTCATAAAAATATATGGTAACCTGTGCGCAAATATTATCGAAGCTTAAGTTCGTTTGTAAAATCTTAATTTTTATCTTTATTCAGTCATATTTCTTTTTTTTTATTGGAAAGATCGGTAATATAAAATTAATATCCTTACTTTTATCGATCATCGTGTATGAGCATTAACGGTAGGCGTACAGTTAATTTATCTAAACACTCAAACTCTTATTTCAATCGCGAAATTATAATTCTATATATTTAATATGCGTACAAAAGATTATTCTTGTTATATTTACGTAACAATTATCTAATATTAAAGATTAGAAAATAAAAAGAGTACTTAAGTTTGTAAAATCATTGCCATGTTTTTAATTTATAATTTTAAACGCTAATATTAGTTTGAATTTTTTTTATGTAAAACAATATTATATTTACTAACAGAAGCATTTTCACATTCTTCATAACAATTTATGCATGGAAATTGTTGTATCACCCTATCTCTGAGAATGTAATATTTTTCAATTAAACGTAATAGATCTGCCACGAAATAAATATTCCATGCCAATAAACATAAAATAAATAAAGTAAATATAGTAAATCTATAACGCTAACAATTTATTTGATTATACTTGTATATTTTCATCAAATATATATGTACAATAAACAAATATATATATAATCAAACATTTAGTTTATATTTCTTATAAAGATAAACGTTAGTAAAATTAAGTAATAGTAAAAAAATATTAATTTTGTTAAGTATTGGAGAATTTTGTAATTTCTGAAATGTGGAAGTTATACAAACGAAACAAAAAATATCTGATTAAATTAGAAGAAAATTAATTTTAAAATTGTAGTTTTTTTTTAACAAAAGCCAAATTACTTCGTATATAATTAATCAGATTAATTATAAAGGAGGTAAATTTCTTTTAATAATCTTTTCTATAAATATACATCGTCAAAATTATCTGAATTATAATCATAAACTATTAACATGAAGTAGAATTACCTTATTATTACTTATTTCATTTATTATTGAACAATATGTACAATTAGGAATTTAATTTATGTTTATAAAATGTGCAGTAATATTATTCATAAACACTTTTATATATAAAATGCACGCACGAAAGTAAAAAACATACTATCAAAGAAATTGCAGTGTCTGAAATTTTTATAAATTTAAAAGTAAGATATGTAAAAGTTAAAATAATCCTGCCCATAGATTAATTATATTTGTATTTAAAATTAAGCACATAAAAGCACTTTAAAAATATATATTCTTACAGTTAAAATCACCTGTACCAGCTCATGAAACGAAATAGCCTCCACAAATCAAATAGAGTCCATTTTAAGCAATAATGCATTTTATCTGCTATTGAATAACTATTTGAAAGTTATATACACGTCGAATATACACATACATGAGAGATAAACTATATGATGTTTGAAACTTCCGTCTGACTTTGCGTTGGTATAGCTACTCGACGTTATACGCTACATAGCAAATATTTACATTTGCAGTGGAAACTAAATAAGTTTAACTTGAAATCTTAGTTAATATATTATAATTATAATTTCCTCTAAAATTACTTTCAACTTCTAAAAACTATGAATATAGTTAAATTATGTGCACTAATTTTTCACGAGAAATTTTTAACTTATTAAAAATTCTGAATGTATGGGTTATTAAATTTTATAATTTATAATAAATATATTTGAAAAAAAATAGCATTTATCATTATTAAGTTTTTTTAATTATTTCACTTGTGGAACAGTCGCTAAAATATTAATTTATTGTATTATGTATGTTATTGCTGGCTTACTTTCACATGACTGTTTGCCTCATAGTAAAATACATATAAACTTTTAAACGAGAAATACGAGAAAACGATCCTTGAATAACTCTTAATATTTCAACTTTAGGAGATAATGACGACAGCTTGTACTTAGATAAAAAGGCAACGAAATGCTTTTTTCTTTCATAAGATAGAAGTTGGTTAGAAGTACCTTCGAGGACTTACTGTAGGGTTGGATATGAATTTTAATGTTTTTATTCTTGTGAAATGATCTGTCAGAATGGGCCCACGTATATAAATGTGTTTGATAAGCAATTTATTTTTAAAGATACTGGGTTAACTCAATTAAAAATTGAAATTTTTCCTTCCAAATACTCATTTAGAATTAAAGAATAAAGATTACCATATATTTTTACACACAAAAATCCTCTATAGATGAAATTTTGTAGTATATGGAGAATTTTTATATATGAAAATAAAAATGTTTTATATCTTAAACTAAATTTATTTTAAGCATTTTAATTATTTAAACGATTTTTATTCTTTATTAATTTATCTATAAATTTGACAATGGAAATGTAAAAATTATGTCTTCATTTTTAATAATGATACAATTTATTAAAACATAATACTTCCTGTAAATATATGTGAATTACGTTTTTGTTTCGACTAAAATTTCTCTCTTATACCGATAGGACGGCTGTGTTTAAAATTCCTTGCTTGTCGAGGGAAACTCTCCTAGGAGACAAACAGGAAGGCAGACACGCACCTAAAGAGAGCCGTTAAAGAAAAAAAAAAGAATAAGCAGAAAAGAAAGTAGCAGTGAACAGAAAAAAGGTAGAAGAAAACAAAAAGCTCTTTCACAGGGAAGGAGAGAGAGAGAGAGAGAGAGAAAAATGGGAGAGAGCTCACCGGATCTAAGCCTTCGGCTACGCCGAGGAAGCTCCGACTCCAGGGATTCATTTTACATGGACTTCGCCCAGGTAAACAATACGTATACATGTGGCCAAAATTCCAATTACTCGGATGTGCTTGAGCTCTCTTTATGATCTGTTACTTTTTTTTAAATTACATGATGCTTTTCAAGCCTTCATTATCAGTTTTTAAATGCGCTATAAGTGCTGGATAATCTTTTATTACGCATTACAGTATTACAGTTAAAATATGAGAAAACATATTTTATTTTATTCCAGCGAGTATAGGTCTTTGTCTATAATTAATACAGAGAGATAATTAGAATATAAATAATATTATGGAAATGAATATTCAGTTTAAAATAAGATTTTAATGAACGTTAACTACTATTGCACATTATTCGTTTTACTTGATATTTTAGATAATTTCGAATAATTAAGAAGTTGTAAATAAATAATTAATATATTGTATTAATTAGTTGTCATTAGATTTTTCTATTTTTCTTAATTCTCTCCAAAATTTTTATGTAAAACACATTTTTGAATATTCTTAAAAATTATTGAATTTAATCTACACACGCACGCGCGCGCACGCACGCACATATACTGGTTCTTTTTTTTAATTAATCATCTAATTCGATTTTCTATTATTAATTATACCGATACTAATAATTAAGTAGTTTAATACTAGATAACTTAAAAATGAGTTTATTAAAAATATTATACATTATATTATAGAAATTTATTATATGATAGAAGTATTATATATATTATTATTAAAATAGTAATAATTACATATGTAGAACGCTAATAATTATTTAAATCGAAAGCAAGTATTAAAAAATATAAAAGAATATGAATTTAATTTTCATATAAAAATTGTTTACATTAATTTTACATATAAAATCAATTATTAACTATAAAACTTTTAACTTTAATCATATTTTTTTATTTAAAAACGTTGTCTTAATACAATTCCTAAATCTATCATTGATAAATTAGTGATTAGAGCACATTCCACTGAATTTTTATTAAAAATGACAAATAAATGTCATGCATTTCAACTTGTATGCTGACAAATTGTGAAAAGAGAACTAGAATTTAGGAAAATCTAAAAGTTAACATTTTTTGCACAAAATCATGCAATAAGTAAGGAAAGAAATACATTAGTTTCAAGCTAAATGATGGACTTTCACTCCATAAGTAATGCAATCATTCACGTAGGATTGGGCTTACGTTCTTCCTTATGTAAAAATTTTCTAAATTCCACTGAGTATTAATTTAAAACGAATAACTAAGTCTTAATACATTTAGTTCGAATCGTATTACATCAACTTGATTTAATTAATTTTTAAAGCACAAAATAAATAATAAAAAAAAAAAAAAATCAAAATTAAAGTACGTAAGGACATACGCTATGGGACGTTATGACTGTAATATTCGTCAAAAGAATTTTAGTAGATAAATAAATTTCACTAGTGATTAATTAAGGACTAGCAGTAATAAATAAAATATGGTAAATTGCATGTTAAAATTTGAGCAGAGGTAAATTGCTACAGTGGTATTATTGTAAAAATTTCCAATATAAAATCAATTGCTTTTACATATATAACCTTTGTAACTTCTAATCATGTTCATGCATAAACAACAGGACTCTTTTTTCCTCGTAATGTATCTAGTTTAAACGACTAAATTTTGTCGCCATGAAACTTTATTAGGATAATGTGGGAAAGCTCGTATGATAAAATAGTCTCGATCAAACCATGTCTCGGTTATCTAATGTCCGGGAGAATTGAAATACTATCAATTAAATGTTTTAAATTACTATCGACTTACATAGCCATTAACTTTACGAGTAGACAGCGAACAAAAAAAAATACATTAAGAGAGAGTTGTTATACAATAAATCGAGGCTAAACTTTAACCTACCTTTACGCGAATATAAAAAAAATTATATTTCTTGTATTATTACAATTATTATCGCAAATGAAAACATAATTTTACGTAAATAATAGATAATTTATTAATGCACACAAATACACATGCATAATTTCTACTAAAATTTTGAAACAGTTTAATAAAATATTATATCCAATAGGAAAACAATGATTATATAAACAACGAAATAAACTCTCATATTATTTATTAAAAATTCAATATTTCATTTTTTTTTTTTTTTTTAAATAATAATTAAAATCATTTTGTTACATAAAAATATGCCTCGAACTACCCTCAAGCCCGATACCTTTTCCCTCGCCAGAAGAATGCTAATTTCACTAGTTGAGCTACCGAGAACTTACCGCCCACTTTCATCCCTTCAACAAATGCTAACCCAACGAATTACATCGGAAGACGTGAATATTTGAATATTTGAATTTTAACGCATTAAAACATTTATCAAGTTTATTACTACGTAGAGCAGCTAAATCATTGATGTTGCTGTAATAGTTTCTAAGTCGTATAATTTAATTAGCTTATTAGACGGAATATAAATTTCAAACATTCTTTCAAAATGAAATTAATATCTAGAATCCCCATAGAAATAATAAGTAATATTTTCTGCATGTCTTTTAAATAATATAATATTCATATAGATTAGTTAATGGCTAATAGTGTAAATTATTTATATATATAACAATGGTAATATATTATAATTACAATATAATAAATGAATTATTATCTATGAAAATTTTAAATATTAAATTATAACTTTAAAAAAATCTACTTTGCATGATAATGAAAAGCTAATTCATTGAAATTAATACAGCTTCGATAAATATTGCGAATTAAGTAATTGGCAAAGATTTTTCATTAAAGCACTTAAGCTATGCTGTCGAAATTAATTAATAATATATATCATTTTCCAATGTATTCTATATTATTATTATTATTATACTAATTTTGAGATATGAGTCTATCATCGGGCAATTTAGAATTCTAGACATAGTTACTCGAATTATTCTAAATAATCGGTTTTCATAAAAAAAGTTTTTCTTTAGAAAGCAGCACATCGACTATAACTAGTTTTCTTGTTGCACCAGGACTCCATTACCCGTCAACCCCTTTGAAAGTATCCCATTTCCGAGAGGGGTAGCTCATGCGCGTGATTTTTAAGCGATAAAATGAGAAAATGTCGTGTTCGATATTCAGTAAAATTAACGCGCTGAAAGAGAAAAGAAGCGAACAGATTCATTTATAGAATGAAAAAGAATTTCGATACACCAGTCATATACTTTATTATTGTATTATTATCTCATTAAAATCTTACGTGTTATATATTAATTATGAATAAAAAAATATAATCGATACATAATAAAATGTTAACTTTTTCTACATTTATCTTAATTTTGAAACAGTTTAGTAATTACAAAAAAATTAAATAAGAAATTTGCATACCATAAAAATCACTAACTTTTTTAATTAGCAATTATTTTTACACAATTTAATTCAGAATTTTTTGAAGTAATTGTAATATCTAAAGTTTTGCTTATTGGATTGTTAATTTAAATTTAATCCTTACATTATCTAACGCAAAAATATAAGAATTTTGGCTATATATATATATATATATATGTGTGGTTTTGTGGAATAATATATGTGATATTTAAAAGTAAAATTAAATAATAATAACTACGTTGCCTACTACAAAACATCATTATTTAAGCATGAACGTACATAAATGAGAATATTATTCGAATTATATGGAGATATAACAGTATAATAATAATAATTACCAGATTTAAAAACATGATTTTGGGAAAAATGCAATTAGATATAAAAATTGACCATTTCCGAAATTCTTCTCAACATTCTTTCAGTATTTTCTTTTCTTTTTTATTTAATGAATAATTTTTACGAAAATTATGTAATTCGTTTAATTAAATTTATTTAAAGACAATTTATAAAAATGTATAAAACTTGAATGATATCGTATTAACGTTTTGATTTAAAAGTCTTTACAAGCTACATACAATATTTTAATGAATTAATTAATAAAAACACGATTGCCATTGCAGGGCATAGATTCGGACATCGAGGAGGTATCCAGGCCGACGGATAATCTCGATGCTCTCATAGCAGAATCTCTGGAGGAAAATGGCAACGACACTTTGCCTATGGTCGCCGAGGATATACCGACGATACCGGAGGAGGCATCTGAAGAGCTGAGGCTCGAGGAGGAAGCCGACGCCCTTGAAGCCGCCCTCACCAGTGCCAACGAAGCGTCCGGTATAAAGAGAGAGAAGGATAAAATTACCATCGAGTGAGTTGCTCAAGCTGAATTCTCATTTGAAAAATTTCTCTTTATCTTTCTAAGGTAAAAGAATGTTAAATTAACCGAATAACCATCGTCAGAATTTCTTTTTATCAAGCTTAGAAGAAATGTAGAGTGAAAATATTTTTTTTGTACATCAATTATGGTTTTAATTATGTTTTTATTTGACAATATTTATATATATATAAAGCTGAGCTTAATATACAAAGCAAAATAAGATATTTTACATTCAAGAATATCACAATTAAATTTTAAGTACAACAGCTATTTTTAAAAGATTATCTTTAAAATTTCCTGTACTTCAAAACTCTATTTGTTTAATGTTATAAATTTGAATTCTTTCCATAAATTTTTACAATCATGCTTCTTTATCGTTTTAAACATATTTAAAACATTCATTAATAGCATAAAGTTTTAATACAATTAATGACAAAGTTGACTATAGCATACTTTGAAATATTAAAAGAATTTTACCAAACTTGTACTGAATAAATAAAAATTATTAAGTTTTGTATAAAAAAAAATTGCAGAAAAAAAACTGATTACATATTTATTAATATATTATTATAATGAATTATTTTTAATGATTGTGTATTGATATTAACTGTAAAACAAAAAAATTCTTCACATAAAATAAGTTTTGAAGACGCAATTCTAATATACACTGTATTATAACAATAAGTACTCGAATGAAAATAAATATAATATTTTAATTTACAAAAGTTATTTTATTCTATAGTGAATAATAGCTTACTAAATTATAGCTTCAATGTATTTATTGAAAACATGCATATCAATTAATTTGAATGTAACAAAATTTAAACCTTTATACGATTTTCATAATTGGCGATATTTATATATTTCATTAAATTAATTTAATATTCCCAATGTCTTTGTGATTTAGGACTTTCGACGTGAAAATATCGAAAAATTATAAATCATCTACTATTATATTCGAGTATATGATTAATCTCTATTTCTATTATGCATAATTAATTTATTACTATAAAAACTTATAATTGTTAAATAATATATGTACATATATATATATATATATATATATATGTTCTTAAAAACTTATTATTTAATTATCCTGCAGATTAATTCAAAATGAATTTATAAATTTGAATTAGATGTCTAGAAATTTTAATACATTCTTTTATTTAATTTTTGCGACACTTTACACACTGTTATTTTATGCAAAAATTTAATTTTCATTCAACAGGCATTTTTTTCTTTCTTAACATTTCATTTACATTATTTTATTCCTCGTATATGTAATTTTGAAATTACTGAAATAATCTACAAAAAGTGTTATTTTAATAATTACAATTTATAAAATTTTCAAGAATAATAAATTTATACAGTTAGGAAAATTTTTTTATGCTTTCGCATAACTTTATTAAATTTAAATGCAATGTTCAGAAATTTACATTATTTTCTCTTATATTTTTATGCTCTTCTGAACTTTCACTTATCCACTCGAACGTGCTTCTCATTCTAACAATTTCAAAGTTCGTCAATTTACATGTAGATTTGATCATGCTAAGTTCGGATGTACGTTCCTTCATTATGTCTATCGTTGAATTTCGTTTGTTACTAAGAAGCTGAAACAACGATATTATCGATGTTATGGAGATTAAGTTCCTTTATCCTGCATTCTGCTTAGTGACCAGCTTTTTCATAAATTGAAAAATTATATAAACTTTTTATGATGAAGTTGACATTTATGATGAAGTTGAAGATAACTTTTCAAAATTACGACAATTTGAGTTCTCATTAGCTCGAGCTTATTGAACATTAAAATTTACTCTACTATTAAGGGAAAAATGCGAATTTCTTTAATAAATAACTAAGTTACTCTTATAATCAAATTATAAGAGTATTATGAATATTTATCTAACGTTCATTTTATAATTATAAACTTATTTTTATACAGAGCACTTAACTGATTCTATACATCGATTTTCGCAAGTAATAACCATTATGAAACATATTACTAAATTAAACGATTGTCCCTTTCTACAAAATTATTTTACTTTTTAATAAGTATTGTTTACTACAATAATATTTATGGTAGTATTTCAATAGATAAATATTTGTTTTATTTTTATAAAAAAATATTACTAGATCTATCATTCAGAACAATTACAACGTGGATTCATTCGTAAGCTATTAAGATGCATTTTGCGCCAAAGTTTTCATGTCAGTTTTAAACATTTGAAAGCAAGGATAACTTCGAAATGTAAAAATTAAATGCATACGTTGGTAGCCCTATGACAGGCACTACCTGTATTAAATCAAAACTTAATGTTCATCGATACTGTTGGTACGAACGGTGACACATCGTTCTGAAAAAATCTCTAATTTTTCAACTAAATAATTGCAATTCTCGTTTTCAAGTGCTTTTCACATTTTCACGAGCTTCAAAGGGGAAGTACTTCTCTCGGTCGATGATAAATTTCTCTATCTCTCTTTTCCCTGCATCACCTCCCCCTAGCACGGACTAATCAAGAGGCGCGCGAATCGCGACGACAAGTGTCGGGAGTCCGTCACGCGTATCCGACTCGAACGCACGACGACCTCGCGAGAGCGTTGATAAAACGAGAAGAGACAAGAAGCACCGAGGACTCGTGAGCCGTGGCACCGTGTTGCCATCCTCCCAGTATATCTCCCCGTTGTCCGGGAGACATGACAACCAAATCGTAGCCCGACTATGCCACACGCACAAGTCCGACAATTCGATGCGGCCAGTGGCGCGAACATGCTTATCAAGGAGACGTCCCTCAGGTAAATTGATTATTCAGTTTCTTAAAGATCCCAGGGCTCTCTGGGAGGTTTCACTATCGACTGCCTCTCTCGACTTATCCCCTGTCACGTGCTTGCCCTTTGAAGCTCATTACTCTTCCATCAGTCATGGGACTTGTGCTATGGATCCCTACTCCCTATCAACGAACAATGCCCATTTCAATATTATTCGATCTTCACCTTATTTAGGTAACTTGTATACTTTCAAGATAGATAGTGCAAAAAACATTGAAATAAACATTGAACAATCAGTCAGTAAGTCAGTCAGTCAGTCAGTAGCACACTACAGTATAATTGTAAAAGTGGCATTACAATTTCAAATATTATTTCCAATGATATACGGGTCATCTTAGCATTAAAATAATATTAAAGTTCTTGTATTGATAGTGCGATAATTTGACTTCTAAAAGGATAAAATTTGTTAATATCAATATTTTATGCAGCTATGGATAATATTTATTAAAATTGTATTAAATTCGTTTCAAATCTCGATGCAAATTTCCTTCTTTCGAAATAATTTTGCACTTATTGGAAAAATTAAATTTGCAAATGTAATATTATCTTATATTTTAAATTAAATATCAAAGTATTATTATATTATTAATTAATTCTTAAATTTCTTAATATTTTTGCTGTTAATATGATACAATATCGTCTTTGTATTTGTTCGTTCTCAATAAATAATATGTATTTATATATAGGAACATTAAAATATCACTCTTAAACATAATAAAATAAAAATAAATAATCAATTTGCAATAAATCATTAAATCATCGATTAAATACAATTGTCTATAATTAAATTAAATATAATTGTTATTATATTTTCTGCACAATTTTAATAATAAATACTGTTCAGTATTGTTAATTAAAATACTTAGATCATATATAAATATACTCAAATTAAATATTTATCTCCGAATACCTAAATAAAAGATATTTTTTAATTTCTTATTATTACCTAAACATAAAAACTGTATATAAAATATAAACGAACGATTAAATTTTCGTATAATATACATATGTAGAATTTAATACAATTTAAATCTTTCCACGATTCATTTGTATATAATTAAGTTATAAATGTATTAAAAAATGTTCACACCAAATAAGACTTCTGCTTGAATCTGAACCACTTGAGCAATTATTTAAGTACCAATTGAATCATACAAATGGTTAATTTTAATTTATTGCGGGCGCACTTTCTTTTGAATCATATCCCTTCATTAATAAATTAACAGAAACGATGCAAAGTTCACATATAGATATAATCTAGTACAAGTTTCTTTTAATCGCAAAATTAAAGCAATATTTAATTAAAAAAATTTGTTTGTTTTTTTTTTAATTTAGAACGAATATTTATTCATTCAACGAATGTAAAATATTTTCGTAAATTAAATATCTTTTTAATTAAATTTATATTTAGTTAATAATTTAAGGCATACTTTCGGCTAAAATATGCAAAAATTTCATATCAACCAATATATAATAATTTATTGTAACACATTATTAAATTTTATATTATACTTTAACTTATATATTCTAAACTGCAATATAATTTTATCTTAATCAATTGCAATGTATTAAGAATTTAATATATATATATTTTATCATAAAAACATTATTGTTTATAGATATAACATCAAATAATGTCTTTTGTATATGATTTTTTAAATTACATTATAAGTTAAATTATAAATTATATATAACAACATCGTATAGAAAAAGAATTAATAAGTTATTATATGATACTCAATCGAACAGAAAGAATAAAATTTAATTTGAAATTTCTCAAAACCCACGATCTTCGAATGGGATTACGATCTACGTGCGAATGCAATTATACGTACCAAAAAAATTAAAAAGATGCATTGCCAGTGAACTGAAATGATTAATGCATAAGTTTTATATAAAAAAAATTGTAATAAATAATTAATAGATAATTAATAGAAAAATATTTAACTATTAATAAAATGTATTTATTATCTGCCTATAAAATTAGTGTCCACCATAATTTACAATAGAAATCATTTATATTTATGGATTAAAAGAAAACTGGTCAAACTCTTATTTAATAAATAATAATTTACTTATTTTGTTAATTCTCAATAAGATTTATATTTATTCACTAGCTAATTTCGTCACACGTACTTACACTCACGCGCACAGCACCAATTTTTATATACTCGTCCATTGTAATTGTAATTCTTCTTAGAAATGCCCAGCTTTGTGATTATCCACAAAGAGAATTATAATTAATATCGTGGAAGCGATAATAGTTTTATTGGAGCTAAGCTCACATACATATGAGTAACAGGAATAGATCGAAGAATTCGTTGCTACGTAAATCCCCAGAAATTTACGTTTCCTTGGATATGCATTTACAAGCCGCTTGAGCGAACTCTTATCTAAGGGTATATGAGTATAAGCAGAGAACAGATGCATACCAAGTATTTACTGAGAATATTTCAAACGAAGAACAATGAATAGTAAATACACTTAGGTGGGGAGAAAAGGTAATGTAAAAAAAAAAATCAAGTGATATAAATTAAATTTATTCCTCTTTGAATAATAATTATAATTCACACGACGCTTTGAAGCCTTATGTAGGCATGTAATTGTGATTATAATAAGAAAGTCATTTCGTTTTATGTCATTAAATGATTCATGCATAAAGTAATAATAGCCATTTTACATTCGGCTTTTTAAATCAGTATGAATTATATGCCTTGGAAAAAGCCTTATAATATCACAGAAGAATGATAGCTTTCTTAATATTAAATGGATATCATGATCCTTCGTTGTTTCTTCGAATTGAGAATGAATACCATTTCACTGGAAAGACTTGGGAAAGTTCATGCAATTTCGCTCGAGCTAATACAGAGTCAGATAAGAGAGAGGAAAACCATGGGTGAACGCTAGGAGTGGCAGTATAAGGGGTCAGAATATAAGGCTGTTCTCGAAAAAAATAGAAAGGGATGAAGGATACTCGTGCATCGAAACAATAGGCCAGAAGGGCGACCCCGTACTCCAATGGCTGAGTCAACCCCTCGTGCAAACGATGCAACTCCTTGTCCTTGCGTCTCGATCACCAACCACCACCCCCCCCCCTCTCCTGCAGCTTCACCATCACCCTCACACCCATCACCATCTCATTCTTTCCGGCTCTTTGTCTTATAGACATTACTACGCACTATTTTTTATTTTTCAACCTACAAATCACTATTTACGTCCCAGGAGACCAGCTCAACAATAGTTATTGCTTATTTAAATAATTGAGTTTCCCATGGTTATGATAGTGCGTGACTATTATTTATAATAATTTATAATAAAATTATTAAATTAGAAAATATTTGTATTTATAAATAATTAATAGAAATTTAAATAGTAATATCGATCATATAATACATATTCGACATTATGTATAATCCGAAATTTATTTTAAACGTTATATAACATATTATCATTTATTACTTCGTATTCTTAATTATTCTTTTCAAATAAATATATCTTAATACATAAATAAATCAATTATTTTAAATAAAATGAAAAATCAGAAAACTCATGTTTTGTATTAAAGTGAAAACTCCTTATTTTGTACGTATTTGGAAATATATTTAATATATTATTTAAAGCTTTTTATTTAAATATATTTCGTAGTGAAAGTTCAAAATTTATAAAGTGAATATTAAGAAGCAATAGTCGCCAATAAAATTCGACAAAGCCTTCAAAATAAACTATTCGTACGAGTTGGTTGATACGTATTATTATTTATCAATATATACAAATACAATATATACAGTATGAAATGCAGTGACAATTAATCAGAATTAGTTATAGCATTAAATACTTGTTAAATAATGTTTATATTTATAAGTAGAAATATAAATACACGAATAGTGATATAAATCTGAATAGATATAGTTAATGTAAATATTATCTAACAATAGCTAATATTAAAACATATGTTTTATATTGAACTTTTCAAATAGAAAAATTGCAAATATTTAATTAAATTAAACATTAAACAAAGAGAAAACCAATCTTCCTCGGAGTATTATAACTTTTATTTCAAAACTTTGTATTTGGGATTTTTGTTTAGTTTACTATTTCCATTTTATAACTTTCTGTCTCTCTCTCCCTCTCTCTGTCTTGATATATATGCATATCTCATGGTATACTTACATATTTATATGTATTCATAAATGATTTATATAAAAAATTAATTTTTTTAGAATTTTTTTAGATAGATAAGTTTCGCTATGAATTAAAATAGATTATTCCGTGCTGTTTCCTACGTATTTCTAAACAACCCCGCTTCCAGTGTGCCTGTTTTCAATTAATTTTATCTCTTTCTAGACTGTTCCCTTTTTACTCCCGTCTGGCTTTACAAAATAGATACTTTACAAAATTATTAAAACCAAAAAGGTAAAGACTTTTGTTGTGAATTTAATTAACAAAATATAAAAAGAAATATACCAAAACGATATAACAAGTTAGTAAAAAAATATTATAATTGAAACTAGATTTGTTTATATCATCAATCATACCCACCGATATTGTAGACGTACATAGCTACTATGTTTTTTTTTTAAAACTATTTTCATTCTTATCTAGTTTAATAGCTTATGTAATGTTATTTTTAAATTCGTAAAATAAACGTAAAATATAAAATTGAATATCTGTAAAATATCTTGAAATGAAAAATGAGATTTATAGATAAGATTATGAAATTTTAATAAATATTTAATTTTTAATCATTTTTCTATTTGTGTTATTTAATACAAATTAATGAAAGTATTTAGCACGTGTAATTATTAATTTTTTAAGTATTTCTATAAATCAATATAAATTAATAATTTTCTTAATTAATATTAAATTTAATAAATTTGAATTCTATTGATAAGAAAATTTGTTCACGCAATATAAGCGATTATACGAAATTCTGAAGAAACTTCGATTTATTTAAATGGAAAATCGAATTATTAACTAATTTATTAACTAAAAGATTTAATTAACTGAAAGAAGATCAAATATAGCTTTTACATACCAGCGATAACCTTAGTCTGATAGTCGTTTCTTTTAAACTTTAAAAATGAGTAAATAGCTCCATTTAATGCACTAAGGCATTAATTTTCAACCAAGTAGAAACTTCCTTTTCCTACATTAAAATAGCCTTTTTATCTAGTTTCATCAAATAATAGTTTTAGATCATCTGCTATTGAACGATATGTTTATTTATATGCACGTACTCATGTTATCATATATGAATGCACATAGAGATGTATATATATATATATATATCAGTGCCCGTGTGTGTGTGCGGGCGCGCGCGCGCACGGTCTGTTGGGTGTGGGTGTATGGGTAGGTGGGTTGCGAGTGTGTGGGTGTAGATGTGAGTGTAAATATATAAATAAAATAATAATACTTAATTTGAGGTGTTGAGTATTATAAAATTGAATGTTATATTCATTAGTAATGAAAGAAGTTGCTAATAATTAATGTGATAAATACGTAATAAAATTGTAAAATGTTTAAAAGATAGAGATTTACCAATTAAAATAAGCAGATTTTCAAAAATTTATGCCAAATGTGGAATCCTAGCAGAACTGGAAAATTCATAAAGCAGACCACATTACAACATATTTCTTTCCATCCAGTGAGAGAACGCAGTGTCAATGTGATTTGATTCGCATCCATTAAAAACCCGTTGAATTTGACCTTAAATTAGAAGCTTCGTGCTAGTGCAACAGATAGAGCGTCGACTGACCTGAAGTATCGTTGATACAATTACGGCATCGTTGCGGATCACTTCCATACTCAGTCTACACTTTTAAACTTATATTTTTCCACTTCGACTGATACTCACGCTCATATTAATTTCACATGCGAAAATCGTGAGACTATCTTTTCTCTTCGATTTATCCATAATTATTCTCTCAATTTTCTTTACATTTTTATTACGTATTTAAAGGATGTCACTGATATTTTATTTTATTTCATAAAGATGATGTCCATGGGTTGGATCAGAAATCATAATTAAAATAGCTCAAATTTTAATAAAATTTAAAGTAATCTATTGTAAAGGATTACAAAATTTATTGTAAATCATGCGAATATAAATATTTTTACTTACTACAGCCACCTATTATGTGTATTAAACGAAATTCTGTCTTATAATATATTGTCAATAAATGATCTATAATGATAATAAATTGTATATTAATTAAGCTCTTTCTATCAACAATTTCCATGAATTTGAAAAGTTTGAAATTTCAAGAGAGTTCTACAATCAGAAAGAGCTACAAATTTCATATATTCGAGGCTCTGGTTAAAGTTTTGATCTGGGGATGCTATGGCCCACGGTCGGGTACACTTTAACACTTTAACTCCAAGCTGCTTACGAAACGTAGGAACTTCCTCGTTCGTGTGCAATTGTCGTTGCACACAATCTCGTTGCACAATAGCAGTGAAAACTCGTACCTTCGATTTTCCAGTTGGCCAGGACTACCGGCGGCTCTGCCCTCGCCCGCTTCACCCTCGGCGGTAATCGTCTCGCCGGAGACACTGTCGAGGCACAGTAGCAGCTCACCCTCGAGGAACAATCGCCAGCCGCAGTATGTGCTGGCCCTACCTTGCCCAACACAACCTATACCGGCTGTCTGCTACCCGGCACCTAACTATCTCGAGCTTGAGGTTACCACTGACAGGAATTGGAAGCACCTCGGCTGGTGAGATAATACTTTTCTTCGAGTACCCCGTTGCTTCCGTTACTCGATCCTTGATTACCTTGATCTCAAAATAACTAGTACGATAATATGCTAAGACGTACTGCGCGTACCTATATAAAATTATTATTAATAATTGAACGAATTTGAGCTGAAATTAGCACACAAAGGCATTTGTACGTATTGATTTCAACGTATTAAATCAGAATATCAGATCTATAAGACCATAATAAAATTTACAATATTCCCTTAACCACACTATTTACACACCACACATTATTTACAAGATTTATTATTTACAAGAACATTCTGTCAAATAAAACAGTACTTATTTACTTGGAACGAAAAGAAGATTAAAATTCTATTCCGGTTGTATAAGAATTCGACTTTTGATGATTTTTTTCAAAATTACTGCAAATTTAAAAGAATACAAGAAACCGACAAATAAATAATAATAATACGTATTGATCCAAAATACAAATTTATTATATCCCCAGTTTATCTGAAATATAAGTTAATAAAAAAAATTTAAGCAAAGCATCGTTCCATCATTATTCATACCATAAAGCTTAATTGAATGATACAAAGTTTCAAAATTTGATTACCTTGTATATATTACATTAATTGAAGTCACACTATCAGACATTTACGCATACCTTCGTCAAAACTCTACTAAATTCAGCAACTTTATTGATATATAAACGATATTGATACTATAACAGAAGTCACATTCCTCCCCCCCCCCCCAGGTAGAAGAAAATCCGGAAACACGTGTCGACTAGCTAAGCAACTAATGCTTGCGCACGTCATGAATTTTTCACATGAATCTATCCTGAACCCGGTCTTAACGTCCGACTCGTCCATCACAATTACAGGCACTTTATCATACGAACTGGCATCAAATACATACATCCACTTAGGCGGCTATATGTGCACACGTGCACTCTCACATAATTGCAAGTAACTTGTGTACACACATGAGCGTGCTTTGAGATAGAGACTCAGTGAAAGAGAGAAACTAAGAGAGAGAGAGAGAGAGAGATAGAGAGAGAGAGAGAGAGAGAGAGAGAGA